AACGGAATCCTCAGGGATCGATATCTGTTATGCGTCGGAGATTCGAATGCAGGNATTTACGTGAGCGCGCCAGATTGGTTTTCAAGGTAGGTCTTTTACACATCAGGCTACGACGAAGTCCACGTAGTAGGTGAGCGCGGGGTAGGTATTGTACTCAGTAACAGGACTGACTCCTCTCTTATGAATTGGATCCCCGTCAATAGTCGTTTATGTGCAGTTCGTCTCCAGGGTTCAATCAGTGTCCGGGAGGGAAGCAGCACCAAAAGGTGATTGTTAGTCATATCGGCATATGCACCGACCAGTTGCGGTTCTGATACGATGATCTCACCACTCACTCGGATGAGTCGAAGCTCCGACAGTCGTACTTGCATGTGACTTTAACTCAGAATGGAAAACTAGGCGCATCAGAAGCTTGGGGGTTGTGCTCTGCCCTGCCAACGACTGCGATCGACTTCAGTTGTGTGCAGATCATCATCTGTTCCTATCCAATACCAATTTGGGCTTCGATTGGTAAGGATTTGACGAAACTAAACTATCATACACTTAATATAAATTGTCGTCCTTTGGCGTCATATGCCATTCTCAATTCAAGGCGATTTTGGTGTTTACTCCGACATTATTAAAACAAAAAGCATAGTGTACAGTACGGTCAAATGTTAGTGCTTACCGGAGCTGATCTGATATGGTCAGATTTCAGGGGCCAATTACGCACGATTACACTGCGTTCTTTGAGTTACGAAGGTCAAATCCTACATACAAAAGCAGGTATTCTTAACCCGAATTCGGGGATCATTCAAGTTGATTCTGAAGCTTAATAATGTACAAAACCAAAAGGTTGAAGGGCAGAAGCAGCTAAACAAAATGTTAAAGCGAAATCACAAATAGATGATGAAAAACATGCGATCCTCAATGCGTATTCCATTACGTAACAGCCCAACCCACACAGGACATTTTGGAGGTAAGTAAACTATAACGAAACGCTTAGTAATAACATCCTTAGTGAAGTACTCTCTATGCGATGCTCTGACTAGGATACTCAAAGGGTGTCGCTGCCATCCTAACTGCTGCGACCAGTTTGTTCATTAAAACCTAGTGAATGTTGATTTGCATTTTGAGTGCGCTATGCTAACCATCTATTATACGGCAAAACTACCGCTTATAAGCAATAAATGCAGAATATTGCTTATCGTGCGCAGAATGAGCAAGAGAGTGAGCATGTGTGATTTTGTATTGTCATGTTTATTTTGTGAGGAAAGTGGCAATTATGTTCCTGAAACTTGTATCGGCGAACCAATGAATCAGGTGTGGTCGTGCGCTGGGCGACGAGAGCCTCCTACCACCGGTGAATATGGGGATTTCCCCGTTTGCCTTTCTTCACGGCATG